GAGGAAGAAGACGTAAAAGGAGACGGAGGAGGAAGAGGAGGAGGAGGAGGAGGAGGAGGAGGAGGAGGAGGAGGAGGAGGAGGAGGAGGACGGCGGGGACGACGGCGACGAGCGACGTGCGCAGCTCCTGCGCGAGCGGGCACGAGGAGGAAGAGGAGGAGGAGGAGGAGGAGGAGGAATTGGAGTTGGAGTTGGAGTTGGAGGAGTTGGAGTTGGAGTTGGAGTTGGAGTTGGAGATGGAGGAGGAGGAGGAGGAGGAGGAGGAGGAGCAGAAGGAGGAGGAGGGGGAGTTGGAGTTGGAGGAGGAGGGGTGGAGAGGAACAACCCAGAAGCGGACGAGTCAATGCCTCCGCCGCCCTAGGCCGACCGTGAGGACCATCACGGTTGGAGCCGGCACGAGCTCGCATAGGAGGCTTACCGCGGCGAGGCGCATCAAAGGCGGTTCGCGCCACAAAAGGCAGCAGCGCCGCGAAGCGCGGCAGACGCGCGGGGCTGCAGGCGTCTAGAGCCGATGCGCGCGACCAGTGTGCGAGGCGGCAAAAGCAAAAATAACGCAGCGCAGCTAAGAGCGATTTGACGATTTCGAGGCCTCAAGTAACGACACGCCGCTCTCGGTCGTGCCGCCCCAATAAGCCACCCGAAGGGCACCACTCTCTCGGGGACAACCCGCCCCCACGAACGCCACGGCGGGGGACTGTGACCGTGGGAGGACTGGGCGGGGATCCTCCAATGAGCCTCCCCCCCGCGCAGGGGACCCGCGACACCGCCCGAGCCCTGGCGGAGTTCCAGGTGGGCCACTGCAAGGGTGCCGCAGCAAAACGTTGCATAAACCCACAACCCAAGCACGGGAACACGGAAAGAAAGACCGTGCACTGGAACCTTGGGGTATCCACGCCCGCCGCACGGGCGAGTCGGGAACAGCCCCGAGGTCCCATGCACGGCGCTCCCCCCATGGCGCAGGTCAGTTAGGACGGCCCACGGCTGGCTTTTTTCTGACCCCAACGGTCCCGAAGGAACACCTGGGGTGACGATCGGGAGGCTACCCGCCTGTTTTCCTGGGGAAGGATCAGGTGCCAGAGGAGGAGGAGGACGAGGACGAGGAGGAGGAGGAGGAGGAGGAGGAGGAGAAGGAGGAGGAGAAGGAGGAGGAGGAGGCGGAAAAAAAGGGAGGGGGGAGCTGAGGCAGCGGAGGAGGAGGAGGAGGAGGAGGAGGAGGAGGAGGAGGAGAAGGAGGAGGAGGAGAAGGAGGAGGACGAGGGGAAGCGGTGAGAGGAAGCGGCGGGGCGCGGGAACCTGGCCACCACCCGCGGCGCCTGGGCCCCCGCCCGAGCCGTGGAGGCAGGGCTGCACCGAGGCGGGGCGCAGGCAGCGGCAGCGGCAGCGGCAGCCCGGCGGCCACGTCCGCGGCGCCTGGGGGGCCGCGAGGGCCCGGAGCTCCACGGCGACCGCCGCCGGCCCTCGGCACGCTCGGCATCGCGTCGCGGCCCGGGCGGGCCGGCGCGAGCCCGAAGGCCGCGGCGGGCACCCGCGACGGAAGCCGACCGCCTGCGGCGCCGGCCGTGGCCCCACGGGCGAGGCACACCGCCTGCGGCACATCTCGCTCGAGGCTGCCGGGGCGCGTCGCGTGCAGGGCCGCGAGCGTGTCGGCGGGCGCGTTCGCCCCGTGCTCACGGCCAGCGCCCAGGACCGCCGCCACCACGCTGCGGTGGCATTCCTCGGATCTCGGCGTCGGCACCTTCGCACGGGCACTGTCATGGAACAGCCTCCGCTGCACCACGTCGCCGCGCCGAGCACTCTCGACTGCGTCAGCCTGACCCTGCATCCCACGTCGAGGCGGCCAAAGTCGGCCGCGGACTTGGCAGCACGGTCGGCGCACTTGTGCCTCCACCAGCCCTGGAAACTGATCTCCCCTGACTCCACATAGCCGCGAAGTGCGATCCAGCGTTATCGGATACATCGCGCTTGTTCAGAGCCCCGAATCATCAGGGGTAACTCGGGTCAGGGATAACTCGGGTTCGTTTTTCGGGAACCCGAACCCGAGTTACCCCGGACCCGAGTTACCCCGGATATTTCGGGCGTCCAGGGCCCCGAATCATCAGGGGTAACTCGGGTCAGGGCTAACTCGGGTTCGTTTTTCGGGAACCCAAACCCGAGTTACCCCGGACCCGAGTTACCCCGGATAACTCGGGCGTCCAACTTGTATTCTCAGCTCGTTGTCACCCCGGAGGAGGGGAGGGGAGGAATGCGTGTATCGACGGTGTCGATGGGAGGATGTGGAGGAGAAGCGGAAGGAATGGAAAAAGGGGGAGGAAGAAGAGAAGGCAAGGCATCGGGACGATGCGTAGTTGAGAGCGCTTTTCTAGGACAGTTTGAGTTGTTTGGTTGCGAACCCCCGTCGTTCCATCTCCTGGGTCGATAGTGCCCCGCGCCTGCATCAAAAGAGATCCTGGTCTACTGGACACTCGTCCGAAGGACTTTCAAACACCCGGTGTCTGCATGAGCTCCAGAACCCGCTTCTGAGTTCAGTCCAAGACGGTTGAAGTTTATTCAAGAACGGTTGTTTGATTTCCTTCAAAAGCCCCGCGCCAGCGTCAAAGAAAAACCTGGTTAATCGGGCACTCATCCGAACGACTCTCCAAATCAGTCCCCCCCACCGACAGCCTCGTCTCCAAATGCCAATAGGCAGGGTGAGAAAAGAAGGAGAAGAGGGAGGAGGGAAAGAAAGGGAGGAGAGGGAAGGATGGAAGAAAAACTGAGATGAGGAGATGGGGAGGAGGAGGATGAAGGGGAGGAGGGGGAGGACGAGGGGGAAGAGGGGGAGGAGGGGAAGCGGCGAGGGGGAGTATAAAGAAAGGGGGAGGGGAAAACAGGCGAGGGGGGGGAAAGAGGAGAAGGGGAAGGGAAAGGCGAGTTTTTGTGTTGGACGTGTTCGTATTATTTCTGTTGTTCCAGGAAGCCGAACAGGGTCTCGGAGGACCCTTGAATACTTGTTGGAAGTTCTGGCAATCCAAGGCGGAGCGAGAGGAGAGGGGACGGAGGAGAGTGGGGGGGAGAAAGATGAGGATGATAACCATGCGGATGGTAACCTCATGCCCGTGAGAATAAACACTAGGGGATAATAAAGTTCGGGGTTCAGGGAGAGATAATAAAAGTAGCCCAGCAGACCTCAGCATAATCTCGAAGTAAGAGATGATCAAGAGGAGACCAAGCCGAGCACGTTTTGAGACATCCTTGGCGTTTAGTTTTCATAGAAATATCCTCAACAATGGCTTATCTCTCATGAAAATTGTTTTTTGTAAGTGCTCGTGTAGGGTAGCTCATGTGCCTCAATTTCCATGGATAATCAACCCCAGAGATAAAAAAGTTCAGGCGAGCGTGGGGACAGAGAGAAATATAAAAGAAGAATAATACAGTAGAAGAATAATAAGAAAGAAGAAGAAGAGGATAATAAGAAGAGGACGAAGAAAGGAAAAATCCAAAGTTCCAAATCTATCAATTTTAATTTACAAACGCTTTATGAACATTGATTTTTTTAAGTGCTCGTGTAGGGTAGCTCATGTGCTTCATTTTCCATGGATAATCAACCCCAGGGATAAAAAAGTTCAGGCGAGCGTGAGGACAGATAGAAATATAAAAGAAGAAGAGGAAAGTAGAAGAATAATAAGAACATTGCTCGTTTCGTTTGAGTCTGCCTCCCAAAATTATTGGTTTCGCTTGACACATCCTGAAAAAGTGTGATCGCTTCGCTTGATGTTGATATATCAACATCGCTTGATGTTGCTATCTCAACATAGCGTTTCGAGGTGATAATGAAGTTCGGCCTCAGCGCTCGCCGCCCAATTTGAATTTTGTATAGGGCGACGATAATCAACTCTAAACACTGAAGGGGGGGGGTCCCTTTATTATCATCGGCATGCGGTTAGGCTGAGGACGGCGGAGAAACAAATAATAAAGAAAATAATTCTTCCTGCGCCGGTTCCGTCGTCCGCCTCACTGTCGCTCTCAACCTCGCCATCAACTGCATGTGTATCCCAGACGCACCCAGACTCCCATGCTCTTCGCCACGATGCTCTTTTTGTCTGGTGCGTCACCGCCATGTCTCTTTCACCCCCACCCCCGTGCCCCCCCTCGCTCTCAACATCCAAACCCCCCATCGCATCCTCCATCGTCTCCTTCTCCTCTTCCTTCCTCATCCCTCCCTAACTTCTCTGTGTTCTCCCTCCTCCGCCTCATCTTCCATATCCTCCGCACCGTCGATCTTCGTCACCATGCTCGTCACGGTCTTCCTCCTGAGAGCGATTCTCCTTTTCGCCCCTGTTCATTTCCACTCCTGCTTACTCCTTGCTCCTTGTTCGACCTCAGCGAATATTTTCTGGGGGGCCAGGCGCAGAACACCCGAGCTGGTCGCGCGCGAAGTGCGCGGCCCACCTCCGAGGAGGGTGCCCAAAAAGTGCCTTCGCGAACTCACACGCAGTCGGGCCCGAGCCCGGGAAAAGCGGCGGCACACGCAGCCCGGGGCCGCCACGGCTGCTCCGGCAAAGCCCGCCACGGCTGCTCTGGCAAAGCCCCGGGCAGGTGGCGGGACATATGCTGCGCAACCGTTCCAGACCCCCGACGTCATGAATTTTTCATGACGTCGACCCCCAACGGTCTGGACCAATTCCCTGGGACCGGTTTTTCGTCCTGAGTCGTTTTTTGGCGGTCCCGAGGGCCGGTAAGGGCCCCCAGAGGCGGAAAATAGCGAAAAACCTCCTGTCGTGATTTTTTCATGACTCGAGGAGGTCTGGGGTTCCAGACCCCCCTGTGCTCGCAAGTCATCGGCCTGCCCGCCTCCCTCCCTTCGCTCCCTCCGCAGCGCCCGCCGCCGCCTGCTGCTCCGAGCTCGGGCCCCCTTGCAGCCCGCGAGGTGCTGGCCATCGCTCGGACGTCTATTTCCTGTTTTTTTTGTGGTTTCGTGCGTGGTTTTCGCCAAAGGATCAAGGATGCTTCTCGATGATCCTCGCCGAAGGAAAAATTGCACGCGTCCGAGCGATGCCAAGGGTGCTCAGAGCCGCCCGATCGGGCCGCCGCGCCGAGCTGGAGGAGAAATGTGCCCCCCTCCTCGACGCTCTCCGGTGGATGATGGCGAGGCTGCGGGCCGTGCGCAGGCAGCCCTGCCCGAGGTGGCCCCCCGGCTGGCCTCTCCGCAGGCCCCCGGAGCAGGCCCGGCTGGCCCCCGCGGGCCTCCCCCGGAGCAGCTCGGGGGAGCAGCCCACGGGCGCCGCGGGAGCCGGCGCCGGGGCGGCGGGGCCGCCCCGAAGTGCTCCGAGAGCCCGTGGAGGCCAGCTTGGGGGCCAGCGTGGAGCCTTGCCAAGGCCAGCGGGGACTGCCTGGGGGAGAGCTGGCTTTTTGCGCAGCCCGAAGCCTTACAGATCGATGGTCCTTCGGGGGCGCGCAAGCATGGATTAGCGATCCATGGACTTCGCGCGCGGTCGCCAAATCCGTGCATCGGGGGGGCAACGTCCCCAGAATGCGGCCGGCGCCGCCTCGTTCAGCGGCGGCAATCCACGATCTCCCCTGGAAACGGGGCCCGTCGCTGATCCACGCCCCCTTGATCCATGTCTGCGATCGCCTGAGTCATGCAGCTCGTTTTCGATCCTCCTCTTGAGCAGGGACCGACCGTCCCGGCATTCCTAAAGTCCTACCACGAAATGTTCGCAGAACCCAACCATTTTTTAATAACAGAAGCAATGTTCTGAGAACATAATCCCGGTGTGATAAAAACAAGACAGCCCCAACCACAAATATTCTAAGAACATGTCGTGGGAACCTCAAAAGGTTATTAGAGCATTGTTTGGTACGCCTATCAGCACGCCAGGACGCTTCGCCACTGCTTGCTCCTCCCCCGGAGCGCGACGAAGACGGCGTCCGGAGCACCGCTCCAGCACGGCGGGCGCACCCAGCTTCTGGACCACCAGCCTCACCTGAGGCACCGCGCCGAGTTTTTTATAAGCGAGAGGGGGCGGGCCTCCTCCTTGGCGGCGAGCGAGGGGGGTAACTGAGAAGGAGAAGACCTTTTCAGAAGGCGGCGGGACTTCTGTGAAACCCTCGCGCCTTCTGAGAAGTTTTTTTTTGTCTTCAGCGACAGCTTCGAAGACTTCTCAGAAGGCCCGGGGACTTCCGAGACTTCTGAGCAGGCCCGCCCCTTCTCACTTCCCCTCCTCGCTCGCCGCCGACCTCCAGGCCTCCCAGATGGGGCCGGAGGATCTCCGGGCAGACGGGGTGGGAGGATTGCGCCGATGCATCGCCGATGCATCGCCGATGCATCGGCGACGTCGGTGGTGCATCGGCGACGCTGGCGCGGAGGAAATTGGGCTCCACCTCGCCGATGCATCGCCGAGGCGGCGTCACGCTCCGACCCCACCTGCCCGGACCCGATCCGGGAGGCCCAGACTCTCTCGGGCGCCACCGGGCCTGCTCTCAGGAGGCACCTGCTGGGAGGTTTCCGTCGGGAAGATTCAAGAGGATTACACCCTGCGAAATGCTTTAGAAATCATGGGTTAAGAAATTCACAGTCTCAGAAACTGACTAAAAACCCAGAATTTCTATGAACATCTTAGAATTTACATGGAAACATTAAGAATAATCGAGACTCTGGCCGAAAACTTAAGCTTTCTTAAGCATCGCCTAAGGTGTAGGCCCCATCGGGGGGCTGTCATGCCGGAGTGGGCCTCGGATCAAGCCGGATTGAGCGGGATTGCGCGGGAGTAAGCTGGATTGAGCGGGATTGAGCGGGATGAAGCCGGATGAAGCCAGATTTCGGACCAGGGCAAAAACCGAATTTGACCTCCCAAGAGTTGCACCCGAACTTCTCAGAGCCCCCTTGCGGTCTCGGGGGGCCTTCGGAGCCTCCGGAGCCTTCCCAGACCCTTCTCGGAGCCTTCCCAGACCCCTTCTTCGGAGCCTTCACAGACCCTGCTTCGGAGCCTTCCCAGACCCAGGGTACCCTTGTGTCCTGTGTCTCGCGACCCATGCCTCCTACACTCCTGTGGCAGCGTGACCCTCGGACAAGGTCTTTTGTCCTCTCGCGTGCCCTACCCAATCAAGTCCGACTGTATCAGAGCCCCCTTGCGGTTTCGGCGAGCTCCCCAGCATCGGGAGCTGCCAAGAGGGGGGCGTCCAAGAGGGGGGGGGCGCAACTCATGGCCGGCGGCATGTGCGCGGCCCAGGGGGGACCCCTGGACGCATTGAGATAAGAAGAGGCGCCATGAAATCTGGGGAAAAATCATGGCCCGCGCCATGAAATCCCCCTCCGTAGTCTCAAGTCGGGCCTGTCCCCCTACAGGGGGATATTGGACGAACAATTAAAACATGTACCCAAAATAAGCAAAACATAATACAAAAATTGCCTGGGGACTATGTTTTGAGTATTTGTTTTACCCTTTTGGGGCATTTTCGGAGTATTTCTTCTTTTTCGTCGAAAATCCCCCTGTAGGGGGACAGGCCCGACACAACCCTAGTCATCACCCCCCTCTTTACCGCCCCCGACAGCAGGCGGGGGGCCTTCGGAGCCTCCCCGGGCCCCCAGGAAGTACATCGATGTTTAGTGTGGGAAGGTCACGCTTTCCGTACAACAAAAAAGCATCGAAACCCAAGAAACCCAAGACACCCTTGAGGCAAGCAAGGTGCTTCTTGGCATGGGTCTCTACTGTACCGCTACTCCGCGGAACTCGAATGGGGTGCGTTCTGACAAGTATTCCCAGGCGAATCCAGCGGTGGCGACAAGGGCCTCCCAGGATGCCCAAAATGGCGAAACCGAGGCAGCGGTGGCGGTACCAACACTTTTTCCTCTTTTAATCCTGGGCTGTGGACGCCCGAAATGGGCACGGAAAACTGGGTACAACGCCCACCAACAGAGCTGCCCCAAACCAACCGCAGCCGCTGTCGGGCACGCGGCCTCCTGTCTCAAATGGACACAGTCCGCGGCTACACCGACAGCGGGTCCCGTTCAAAATGAACAGGAACTACTGTGGGTCTTTGTACCCGTTCTTCCATTCTTTCCGTACACACTTCCATCGTCCCGATCTGCCTTCCTCCAGTCCAAGCCCCTGCAAGCGAGGTGTTTGCAAACGGGGTGGTAGCTAAGGGTGCGGTTTCAATTGCGCCTTTTGCCGCGCGCAAGTGCGAGGTACCCCCCCGCCCAAGGTTATGATGAAGTATCGGCGATGTTGACGTCCCGATTTATTGTGCACCACTGCGAGGTTCATTTGCCCTGCTCACTTGTACTCGCTTGTAGCGGCCCCTCAACTACCATCCCATGTACCAACACCCCGTTTGCAAGCGCTTGGCTGCCTTCGGGGATCCACTGACCCGGGTCAATGAAAACCCGGGTCTTGCAGGACCTGGCAGGATCCTGAAAAATCCTGCAGGATCCTGCCCCCAAATCCAGGTCAATACAACTGTGGCCCTGCAGGATCCTGCAAGATCCCTCGCTCTAGCTGACCTCAGGTCGGGCATGTCCTCCCACAGGCAGATTTTGGGCGAGAAATAAAGGATAGTCAACAAATACTCCTAAATAGCCCAAAATGCCAGAAAACATCGTCCCCCGACAATGTTTTGACAATGTTAGTTGAATTCTCCCCCTGTAGAAACCCACGCCCGACTTACGACAGACCTCCGCTTGCACCGACCCCCGTCTCTCGAATCCCGATGCCTTCCTCCCGTGGCCCGCGCCGCCGCTCACCGGCGCCACGCAGTCCCGGAGCTCCTGCAGCGGCGCCGTGCCTCGGCCAGCGCGGGGAGGAGGAGGAGGAGGAGGGGGAGGAGGAGGAGGAGGAGGCAGGCGGCGGGGCGGAGGGCTGGTCGGAGTCCGCTGGCCTCCTCCTCCTCCTTTTCCTCCTCCTCCTCAGCCCATTTCAGCGTCACCCCACGTTCCCAGGGCCTGCCTGTTACCGTATCCCCATACATCACTGCGCATATGACACGAGGGCGGTGAGCACTCGCTTTTTACTCGCACCGTGCTTCTCCATGGCTTCACACTTGTTCTCTATTTCCTCTTATAACTGTCTCAGCTTACTGCAGAACGATCGCTTTCAAGACATAACATCATGTCTACGCTCTAGCGTTCTTCTATTACAAAGAACTCGACGTCGTGTTCATGAATGTGATCCATGTGACGTACACAGTTCACGCGAGTATCATGTCTTCCAGTTCGGATACCACCACACGTACGGCAATTCGCACACGGGTGTTACTACTGCACTGTCGGCACGTATATTTTCTCGCAACAATTGCGTCGCTATCTCGCATCCGAAACCACAAAGCTTATGGGGACGAGGAGGTGCCGTTCGTTGTAAAAATCGGCATGCTGATCATCTCGGCGCACCTCCCCCCGAACACGGGCACCGCCCGTAGTAAACGTGATTATGCTGGCACGCTTCGCTGGCTGGAGGACCTCTGCTCATCTATGCCGTCCCGTACTTTACCCATCCTCGGCATCGATTCGAATGATCACATCGGACTAGTTCGTACCCCCGCTGGCCATACCCCGACAGATGACACATGCACTGGACCCTTCAATCGTAGTTTGCAGCAACCTCGCACTCAGCAGTTCAAAGACTTTCTGCCCAAGTACGACTTAATTATACTAAACACGTTCGACAAAACATATCCGACTTATTATCATGGCGTCACTGGCAGCACTAGCTATATCGACTTCATTATTGTTCCTCGCAGTTTCTATATTGCTGGATACGTTCATAAATGCCAGACTCTCCGTCACCTCGGAGATCGACTTCAACTGGTGCAGGCGACTAAACGCGTCGATCATCATCCAGCGCATACTCTCGTGTCTCACAATCTTCAGTATGACGGTCTTGTATCAGACAATCATGTACGCTGGGATTTTGATTCACTCGTACGTTCGTGGTTATTCGGATCTCATAGACAAGAATTCTTACGAGCATTGGACCACCGGATTTTTGAGAATGCCTCATATTTGGACGGGTTTTGCGACAAGGGTGCTTCGGAACAGTGGGCCGCCCTGGTCGAGCATGGATTATTGCCCATCGCGGCGAAACACTACAGCGCCTCCCGATCACAATGTCCCCATGGACCCCAACGTCAACATCTCCTACAGCAACGACGAGATCTACGAGATCAAGCCGCCTCTCTCAATGATTTACACTAGGCACGGGGTGATCATCGTTATTTGCACACTGTTCTACGGAGCTGGCTTATCATATCTCGACTCTTGCGTGTCAATCGCCTCATCAGACAGCACAGCGCGCAGCAACGCCGACTACTTCACGACCAACGTCAACTGGAACTCCAGATCGCATGGAGATCTCGTCGGCTGGCAGAGGCGTGGCACCTGGCTCGACTACTCGCAGGCCGCCGTATTGGTCGACGACTTCGTAACTATCACAAAGCTGCAGTTCGTCAACGCTCGGAAGAAGAGGGGTTTCAAAAACTACCCCAGCCAGGCTCCCGAGGAGGATGGAATTGCATGCGCCTCCCACTCTCACAGGTTCGCCAAGAATTTTACGAGGATGATGATAGCCAAACACACGTTGACTACCAACCCCGCCTCCCCGGAGAATATGACCTTTATCAGACTCGATGGTGGATTCGCCAAAGCTCTAATCGTCGTGCCCCTCCTGCTTGGGACGCCCCTAGTGAAGTTTGGAAGATGGTACTCTGGTCAAAAAAAGTGTTTCGCGATGAATCCCACGGCCTAGGCCACGATGGAGATTTGTTTCAACCCACCCTGTTTCTTGGCGTCTCCAACGTATCCATGCGATGGCCCGAGCTACAGGTCGCAGTCCGTTTCAATTTCACCGCGGTCAAGGCTTTCAAGTTCCCAAGAAAGATGATGCCCGCATAGTTCATGGTGTTTCTCCCTTCTCCAAGGCTGATCACAAAAGTCTTCTTCGGCGCCCTGGCAAGCCACATCGCCAACCACCCCATCATGCGTTTGCTGTTCCTGGCCGACGCCGGGAATAAGCTATTATTACCAAACTCGTGGTATCTCATCGGTTCGCCAAAGCTGGGACTAGCATCGCGGACCACCACTACGACGTCGTCAACGCCTTTGCCTCTTCATCGCGCGACATCGTGGATGAAGCCACTCACCACCTCATGCTCTACAACGACGATGACATCATTGACGAGACCGCCGCCGAGACTCCCGACCATATTCTTCAACCAGATGAGCGCCTCCTACGCCAACATCATCGGCGCGCGCACTGTACTCTTCAAGCTCATGACAAAGTGGCTGAGCTGTATCCCCAGAGTGGTACATTTCAAAGCAATAGCCTCGCTACCAACGAGTTTCATGTTCCCTACTGGCGTGCCATAGATGGAGTGCCCTTACCCGTGTCCCCGACATGACCGGGCGCTCTCCTATTGATGATTCTGAAGTTGACCTCTCCATCACATCGTTTGTGAACGATTTATGCAAGCAGTTCGTGCTATCGACTCCAGCGCACTTCAAGCATACGCAAGATGATCATGACGCCAAGTTAGCCCGCTGCTTTGGCAGGTTTACCATCGCGCAGCACAAGGGTAAGAGTGAGTCGACTGTCCACTTCGTGGGGGCAGGTGCTCACACATACCAACGTATGGCTCACTCTCATCAAGAATTTGGCAACGTTCTTCGCGCTGCCCGATACCTCGGGCCATATCTCCACTGCGAGAATTGCTTCTATGTCGAACCCCATCTACGCCTTCAAGCTGCCAACAAGGCGTGGTTTATTTTCCGTCGCTTTTGGTTTACTCATACTGATCTCCGTTTTCGCGCACTGGTGTTTCGTTGCACTGTATGGTCTGCACCCCTCTCAAGTCTTACCGCGTTCGCTTTGCGCTCTCACGACTACACCGTCTTCGGCAAGTACATAATATTCCGCGCGCGCAAGCTTCCCAAGGGCAAGGCTACGCTCAAAACTCCTCAGATCGACGGCGCCATCAAGTACCAGCCCATCCCGACTATTGAGATCTGGCGCGGCATTGGTTTAGCTGGTACACTTGCGGAACTCCGCATTCAACGATTGAACTGGTTTCAACAGATTTGCCGTCGTCCTCCACACCATCAAGCGCATGTCACTGCCATGTTCGGTCGATTACCTCATGGCGACGGCGCGCTGTTCACTCACCCATTGGACGGGGCAAATTACGCATGGATATCCAAGCATTGTCTCACTTGGAATCAGCTTATGTCCTTGCTGACGTGAGCCCCGTCGACCTTCTCACCCCTGGCGTCTTACAAGACGACTTTCTCCTTGTGGACGTATCGGAGCTTCGTGCACTGTATCTATCTGTCTCCATCTCACCGTCGTCCTATGAATATGATTGCGATGTTCCCCACCCGTCGCCATCATCGCGCGCGCTCCCCTCGGGTGAATACTATTGTGGTCTCATGCGTACCGACGGTAACCTATGCACGTGCACGTTCAATACTCTTAAAGCACTTCGGTTACATCGAGCACGTGAACAGTCTTTGCACGGTATGATCACCCTCGATTCGATCGCTCAAGAAGATATATGTCCTTGGTGTCCGACACATTTCGCTACTCGGAAGATTGCACAATATCATGTACGTCGTAGCTGATACGATGGTCGTTGTAAAGCAGATTTAAGCTATATTTCGTCACCTCCCGTCGTGCCCGATGAGACATATTCATGTTCTACATGTGGTTTATTTGGATACAGTTTCGAATGCGATGACATCTACGTTTATCATCACCATATTCGCGCGGCGCACCTTTCTGGCCCAAGACGCCTCGAGATGTGGGGCCCACTATAAACTCCACGATCATCCAAGCTTGACTCACAGAGCTTGCAGGCATATTCCACTTCTCGTGGCCATGGACCTCGGCCTCGCCACCAGCACAGCCCCTCGTGCCGCGAAGGAGCGCCGCAAGGGCGCCAGCTCGAACGACCTCACCGCTCTCGTGTTTCTCATCGCCAAGCTGACCCTCAGTACTGCTATGTCGCCACGGGTCCTGAGGGCAATCGTGCTGGAAAAATATCAAGTGAACGAGAGCTCCGAGTTCGTCATCCAGGGGAAGACTTCTACACCGAACTATTCGGAGGCGGCGAAGCAGTACCGCAAGGATCAGAAGCAGGTGAAGATTGCCACTCTGCCCCATCCACACGTGCACGTCTGGAATGCATGGATCATGGTCGCCAAGCAGAACTTGCAGGAGAAGGAGCTCGATCCGCCTCAGCTAGCCAACCTGGACACATATGTGCAGAAGATGAAGAGCACGGGCAACGACACCAAGGATTACCGTCATGCTCTGATGAAAGAAGTTCGCTACGCCCGTTGCTGCAAGACGTACGACAGCAAAGTGAAGCGCCTCGAGGCGAACACAGTTTCAGGCAGCCCGAGCGCCACGGTCTACGAGACCATCATCGTGCCCATCCTCATCCGCGAGAAGGCCACCAAGCTCGAGGGAGTTGCGCCGCCAGGCGACCTCGAGCGCAGGATCCAGAACGCCATCGACGAGATGGAGGCGTGAGCCCTGCAGCTGATCCTCCAGGCGCCCGCCACCGCTCGCCGCCGAGAGACAGACCCCCCCTACTCGTCCCCGCTCTTCGACGATCCTCCCCTCGTATCCTCCTCCTCCTCCTCCTCCTCCTCCTCCTCCTCCTCCTCCTCCTCCTCCTCCTCCTCCTCCTCCTCTTAGTGTGACCGAAGGTCTTCGCTCTTCTTTACGGTTTCAGCTTGCCCGTCAGCGATTCCTTGAGCGTTCGAACTCAGGTAGTGGATTTCAGAATGCACAGCAGTAAGTCTTGTGTGCACTCGTGCTACAGGTATGAGTGCACGACGTTCGCGCCCTTTCGAATTCGTTTCGTTGTGGGCTTGCGTGCACTGTCGTCGGTGGGCCTTGCCCGTGTCGCCTCCCGTTCAGTGTCGCTTCTCTGAGCGTTTGAGCCCCTGTGCATTCGAACTCGTCGCTGGCTAATCCACGGCCCGTCGAACTGTCGCTCTTGTGAGTCGTACTATTATTATTATACCTCCTCCTCCTCCTCCTCCCCCAAGCTATTGCTTCGCGAGGGAGGGGGTGACTAGAGGCTGTAGGGGCCCGACCCTCCTCGGTCCTCCCCTCGACCCTCTGGCCTCTCTCTCTCTCCCCCTCAGTGCCTCGATCACTCCCCCTCCGCCTCGATTCTCCTCCTTCTCCTCCTCCTCCTCCTCCTCCTCAATGCCTCGATCCCCCCCCCCTTCTGTATCCATCCTTCGATCCTTCGCGATGGGGCGTTGCGTGATGGGGGGGGGCGATAAATCGGGGGGCGGAGACACGTGCCCGTTGCGCGCCACTTCTGGGGCCCCTTGCGGGCACGAGAAGTGCACCTCGCTCTACCCGCCCAGTGCTTGCCGTCGCTCAGACGTCCACTCCTTGATCATCGTGCGTTGTTCGCTGCTGCCTCGCAAGATGATTCAGGAGGTTGCTCGATGGTCCTCGCAGAGAGGGGGGGAGAGAGAGAGAGAGAGAGAAAATAAAAAACAAAACAACACGCTCACGTCCAAGCGATGCCAAGATTGATCGCCCCTCCCTTACCCGGAAGCTGGAAACACGCGTGGCTGGATTCACAAGTGGAGCGTTTGGGGGCCGCGAGATGCTCCTCGATGGTCCTCGCCGACAGAAAGCATGCACACATCTGAGCGATGCTAAGCTTTACCATCGCCCCCCCTCTCGCAACTCGGAAGGACGCAAAGGTGGGGTAAGGGTAGAAGGGAGGGTCAGAGGAGAATCGCTCAAAACGGCCAGTGAAAGAAGGAAGTGTGAGCATCCAGCCTGGTATGTTCCGCAACCACAACTTGAGTGCCCCCCCTTCTACGATGAATTCGGGCATGCCCCTCTACATGAGGAATATTCAAGAGCAGTCGAAACATAGTCTGGCGACGACATTTCGTGCTCTTTGGGACATGTGTTGATCATGTTTTGAATATGTTTAATCCCACCAGCCCTCTGGGCGCAGGTGGTCTAGAGCGTTTCCTTTTCCACTATCCTTCCTTCCCCTGTTTGGGAGGTTTACCTCCCCCCCTTCCATGTGTGGGGGGTGGGGCCAGAGGTGGGCCAAAGGGAGGACGAGCTTGCGATCCTAAGGACGCATGCTGGTGCCAGAGTGTGCTTGTCCTCCTCCCCCACCCCCTCCCCCTCCTCCTCCCCCTCCCCCTCCTCCTCCTCCTCCTCCTCCTCCTCCTCCTCCTCCTCCTCCTCCTCCTCCCTCCTCCTCCTCCTCCTCCCCTCCTCCCATCCTCCTCCTCCTCCTCCTACTCCCCCTCCTCCTCCTCCCCCTCCTCCTCCAACCAAAGCCTCTCCATACGACGGATGCGGCACGACGAAGGCCGACGCAGGCTGCGTCGCCATCGGCGGAGCCGAACGAGGGGCACACTGCTCAGTCGCGGCGACTGGGAGCCGAGACGCGGTCGGGGCAGCCGAGGGACGCCGCGGGAACAAATCGGGCACCGCGCGGGGGCGGAGGCGGCGCAGATGGGCGGAGTGGCAGCGCCGCGGGCGGCGGAGCAAGGCTCAGAGCAGGAAGCTCTCGCGCGTGCGCGCGCCAGAGCACGGGCCTGCTGGGCAGCAGGAGGGCGTCGAAGGCGGCCGAGGGTGTGGGCAGGACTTACTGAAGGGGCCCTGGGACACACAAATAGGTAATTACACACAAACAACAGGACTCCCCGTATGTGGCCATATCTCCTGCGATGTTGCCCTCCCCCCCACTTCCCATCCTGGGGGAATCGACGACCAATTGTGTCTGTGTGTTTCTTCCCTCCTGACCAGCATTGGGCTAGCACACGTCTGAAGGACCATCGGAGAAAGGAGCGAGACGGAGGAGGGGGCAGGATCGGGGGCGTTCGGGAGGGGGGGGGCGCAGATCCTGGCCCGAGGCACGTGCGCGGCCCCAGGGGGGGAGGGGCCCAAGGGACACGCGAGCGCAAGAAGAGGCGCCCAGATATCTGGGGCCATGCCACTGCCCTGGCCATGACGCCCCCCCGCCGTAGTCACCATCCCCCTCACCGTCCCCCTAGCACGGGCTTTTGGTGGCCGTTCGGGACGATCCGGGCACACCCGGAACGCTCTCGACAAAGCGCGTGTGCAGGAAAAGCCTCCCGAGGCTGGAACATCGCCGAGAACAGACGACAACGCCCGAAAACCCCGCAACTCGCACCTCGGCGATACCCACCCCTACAGCTGGGCTGCTGCGATTCGTAGACACAGAAGGCCCGAAGCCATCCTTTGGCACCACGAAGACCATGGCTGCACGAGGGAGGCCAGAGGAGCAACCATGGGGAAACCAAAAGGTACCTGTACGGCCACTCCCCGGACCTCTCCTGGGGCGCGCTCTGACCAGGATCTCGGGGCAACTCTAGCGGTGGCAACGAGGGCCTCCGAAGAGGCCGAACAAAAGTCGACGGGTAGCGGTATGCGTACCTCTTGCTCCTCTGAAGCCACGGGGTGACCCAAGGAGTGAGCAGGGACCGACCGTCCCGGCATTCCTATAGCCCCACCACGGAATGGTCTTAGAACCCCAAAACAATTCGAAGAACAAAACCATGTTCTTTCTCAGAGCACGAGCCCGGTGTGATGACACGAGACAGCCCCAACCAGAACTGTTCCGAGAACATCTCGTGGGAACCGCACAAGGCTCTTAGAGCATTGCCTGGTATGACTACCTACCAGACCACCCCAACCCAACCCGAAGACCCGAATTTCGGGTGGGGGGGGGGGTACGGGTTCCATGTGTGTTTTCTCGATGTTTCCCGACCCCCCCCACTGGAAATCGAGGGTAAATCTGAGCCTTCGGGTTGGGTTGGCGTGGTTTAGTGGGTGGTGATGGTAGGGCCACAGGCGAGCCGGGACGCTCCGCCACTGCCTGCAAGGAGCGGCCCCCCTCCCGGCGCCGCGGCTGCAGCCGTCCCCCCCGCCGTGGCCGCCCACGGCGCGGAGCGCAACCGCGTCGCCCCACGGGGGCAGGGGCAGAGATGCCTCCCTCCTCCTCTTCCTCTCCTCCTCCTCCCCTCCTGCTCCTCCTCTTCTCCCTCCTCCTCCTCCTCCTCTTATTATTATTATTATTATTATTATGATTATTCTTATTATTCGTCTTCTTCTTATTATTTGTATAAATCAGTATTAGTATTATGATTAGTCTTCTTGTTCGTCTTATTATGCTTCTTCTTAGTGTTATTATTCTTCTTCATATGATTATGCTGTTTCTTCTTCTTTTCATTATTATTAAGCTTCTTATTATTATTAATTTGATTATGCTTATTATGTGTATTATTACCGTTCGGCTTATTATTATTATTATTCTTCTGTTTCTGCTGCTTATTCTTATTATTATTCGTCTCCTTAGTAATATTATTATTCTGATGACGTGTCTTATTATTATTATTATTCTTATCGTTTCTTATTCTTGTCTCCTCCTCCTCCCCCTCCTCCTCCTCCTCCTCCTCCTCCTCCTCCTCCTCCTCTGGGGCCCGAAGAGGAACAGCTGGTGCCTCGGAGGACCGCGCCGCGTCTTGCGGCGCAGCGGCGGCGGAGACGTCGACGCGTCGGCGTGCGAAAGGCCGCGCGCGCGCGCCCGCGGGCGGCGGAGTGGCCGGGAGGGAGGCGGCGCGCGCCGTTGATGGCGAGGTGTGCCTTCGTGGCCACGACCGACGGGAAGACGAGCCTCGCCGGAGCGCCCGCCTCCGCCTCGCCCTCGGCCTCCGCCCCACCCTCCCTCCCTCCCTCCCTCCCTCCCTGCTCCCTCCTCCTCCTCCTCCTCCTCCTCCTCCTCCTCCCCCCTCCTCCCTCCCTCCCTCCCTCCTTCTCCTCCTTCTCCCTCCTTCTCCCTCCTTCTCCCTCCGTCTCCCTCCTTCTCCCTCCTTCTCCCTCCTTCTCCCTCTGTCTCCCTCTGTCTCCCTCCTCCCTCCTCCCTCCCTCTCTCCCTCCACCCCTCTTCCTCCACCTCCTTCCCCCCTCGCCTGCACCCCCGCCTCCCTCCTCCTCCTCCGCCTCAAGCCCCCTGCTCGGCCCCCACGCCTCGTCCCTCCTCGTCCCCCCCTTCCGGCTCCAAAAAAAGGGCGGGGAGGAGAGGGCGGAAGCGGGAGTGTGCGCTGAAGGGTCAGGAGGGCAGGAGAACCCACAGTCGAATCCACGAGTCGGACCGGCGATCGAAATGACTCGGCTAGGCGACGCTCGAGTGCCAAGTCGGCAGAGGTCGGCAGGCCAGTAGGCCACCGTTGAGAACTCGGAGCCCGAAGGGGAATCCGAAGTCGAATCGAATCGAAATCGGAAGCCGTCGAAATCGAATCAAATCGAATCCGAGGACTCGAAGCGAGCCCTGGGAGGGGGAGGGGAGGACGAGGGGAGCGGAGAGGGAGACAGACGAAGAGCACGAGATGCGAGGGAGGAGAAGAACGACGACGACGACGAACAGTGACGGCGCCCAAGGACGACGACGACGAAGACGGCTCGATGACAGCTCGACGACGACGACGAAAACGACGACGACGAAAACGACGACAATGAAAACGAAAACGAAGACGACGAAAACGACTACGACTATGACTACGAATACGAATACGACTACGACTACGACTACGACGACGACGACGACGACGCCGGCGACGACGACGACGATGACGACGACGACGACGACGGACACGGACAACGGACGACGGACTCGGACGACGACGACGACGCCCTCGAGACTGTCGCGGCGGTGACGACGACGGCGCACACGACGACCACGACGACCACAGCAACGGTCGCGATGCCCACGGCGATGACAGCGGCGGCGGGCTGCCGGGGATGAGGGCGGAGCCCAGGGCAGTCGCACAGCGAGAGGCCCCCGGTCCTGGCTGTGCCGCCCGCGCCACGGGGCGGCAGGAGAAGGAGGAGGAGGAGGAGGAGGAGGAGGAGGGAGGAGAAGGAGGAGGAGGAGGAGGAGGAGGAGGAAGGAGGAGGGAGGAGGGAGGAGGGAGGAGGGAGGAGGAGGAGGGAGGAAGAGGAGGAGAAGAGGAGGAGGAGGAGGAGGAGAAGAAAGGGGAGGAGGAGGAGGAGGAGGAGGAGGAGGAGGAGGAGCAAGAGGAGGAGGAGGAGGAGGAGGAGGAGGAGAAGGAGGAGAGGAGGAGGAGGAGGGAGGAACAGGGCAGGTGGAGGAGGAGGGAGGAAGAGGGCAGGTGGAGGGGGAGGAGGAGAAGGGAGGAAGAGGAGGCGGAGGAGGAGAAGGAGGGCGAAGGATGAGTTGGCAGAGGAGGGAGGAGGCGGAGCATGGAGGAGCCGGGAGGGGCAGGAGGGCCGGGCGCAGGGGAGAGAGAGCGCTCCCCCCCTGCACTCTCGCGCCTGCACGCCCTGGCTTGCCATCGCTCGGCTCGGACCTCCCTTCTCCGTGCATGTCTCGTGCGTTTTATTCTCGCGGCGTGATCCAGAGTGCTCCAAGGAAACCAAAGAGTGCCGATACCGCTGCTCCCCGGACCTCTCCCGGGGGTGCGTCCTGACCAGAGTTGCGAGGCGAGTCCAGCGGTGGCGACGGGGGCCGCCCAGGAGGACCCAAGAAGGAGAACGAGGCGAGGGTAGCGGTGTCCGTACCTGTTCCTACTCTGACCCCAAGGACCCCTCCGTTTTTGAGCAGGGCCCTCCTCTCAAAGCTGAGCTGTGTGCCATGTGAGCGTTTTTGGGCGGTCATGGGGAGGGAGGGGGGGGAATCTGGCTCCAGCATTTGCTTCGTGCGACTGTTTGCAAGAGTGCGGCCTCTGGGGGAGACTCCACCCGCTCGAAACAGGCGCGAACAAACAACCGAGATCCACTCCGTGGGGGGGGGAGGGGGCGTTTTGGGGCCCGCGCCGATCGACCAGACAGTGGATAAAAAACAATCACCATGGAGCCTGTGTTCTGCATTGTTCGCGAAAGCGGGCGTGATCGGGGCAGAGGGGGGAGTTCGTCCCCCCCGATCACAGCACGGAGAGGGGGACCGCCAGAGAGATCTGAGATCCCCGAAGAATATGTTGGAAATCCTTGCACGCGTGGGCAAAGTACATTTAGGGGGCCCAGGGACACACAACAAAATACACACACACACACAAATGCCACTATTCCAAATTGGTTCTGCATGTTTTCTAACCCTCCTTGGTTGGGTATTCGTTTTGAATAGAGCACTGCTCGCGCGTCCTTCCTTCCTTCCTTCCTTCCTTCCTTCCTTCCTCCCGCCTCCCGCCTCCTGCCTCCCGCCTCCTGCCTCCCGCCTCCCGCCCACCTCCTGCTTGTCTCCTCTTGCCTTGCCTGGGGTGCTGCGATCTGCGAAACTGTCGCCACTTTCGAGGGCTGCTGGTGGGTCCAGCGGAGTGAGGCACCGCGCAGATCTGAGCGGTAGCTCGCCGTCCTTGAGGGGCTGCGATCTGACTCTGTGGTGGGTCCAGCGGAGTGTGGCAGCGCGCAGATCTGAGCGGGACCTCGCCGTCCCTGAGGGGGTGCGATCTGCGAAACCGTCGCCACCTTCGAGGGCTGTTGGTGGGTCCAGCGGAGTGAGGCACTGCGCAGATCTGAGCGGGACCTCGCCGTCTCTGGGGGGCTGCGATCTGCTGAACCGTCGCCACTTTCGAGGGCGGCTGCTGGGTCCAGCGGAGTGAAGCACCGCGCAGATCTGAGCGCTATCTCGCCATCCATGGGGGGCTGCGATCTGCGAAACCGTCGCCACTTTCGAGGGCTGCTGGTGGGCCCAGCGGAGTGCGGCGCCGAGCAAATCTGAACGGTAGCTCGCCATCCCTGGGGGGCTGCGATCTGCGAAACCGTCGCCACCTTCGAGGGCTGCTGGTGGGTCCAGCGGAGTATGGCAGCGCGCAGATCTGAGCGGGACCTCGCCGACCCTGGGGGGCTACGATCTGCGAAACTGTCGCCACTTTCGAGGGCGGCTGGGGGGGCCAGCATAGCGATCTGCGAAACTGTCGCCACTTTCAGGGGCGGCTGGTGGGTCCAGCGGGGTGAGGCACCGTGCAGATCTGAACGGTAGCTCGCCGTCCCTGGGGGGGTGCGATCTGCGAAACCGTCACTACTTTCGAAGGCTGGTGGCGGGTCCAGCGGAGTGAAGCACCGCGCAGATCTGAGCGGGACCTCGCCGTCCTTGGGGGGCTGCGATCTGCGAAACTGTCGCCACTTTCGAAGGCTGGTGGCGGGTCCAACGGAGTGAGGCACCACGCAGATCTGAGCGGGACCTCGCAGTCCTTTGGGGGGCTGCGAGCCTCACGAATGCTGCTCGCAGAAATGTGTGCGACCATGTCACGTCATCACCTCCGTATACCATCTCCCAAGCTACTCATGCCCCGCACTGCGCAGGGGTTGGGTATGTCGCCAGGGTAATTGGATTGTCGTCTTCCCCCACTTCTCATATTTACCATATTTCCCAGGGAATCGACGATTCAGTGTGTTTTTTCCCCTCATGAGAGACAACCGATCACGGCCATTATCGCCCAGGCTGGGGAGACGAAAAAGTACCGATACCGCTACTCCCTGGACCTCTCCTGGGGTGCGTTCTGGCCAGGACTTCGAAGCGCATTCAGCGGTGGCGACGATGGCCTCCCTGGAGATCGATCGGTACAGTGGAGGCTGCAAGAAACCAAACCCTGAGACCCCAGTACCTTTAGAAAGTCCAGGGTCCGACAGGGACTGGTTGCCTCTCAACATGGAGCCGAAACCCTTTAGAAGCCCTCCGGAAGCCCTCCATGGGAAGGGTCCCGGTAAGATGTTCGGAGGGCTTCGGGGGAATTTTGGGAAGGGCTTTGGTCGTTCTGGCGGGAGGAGGAGGAGGAAGGAGGAGGAGGAGGAGGAGGAGGAGGAGAGAGGAGGAGGAGGAGGGAGGAGAGGAGGAGGAGGAGGGAGGAGGAGGAGGAGGAGGAGGAGGAGGAGGGAGGAGGAGGAGGAGGAGGAGGAGGAGGAGGAGGAGGAGGAGGAGGAGGAGGAGGAGGAGGAGGAGGAGGAGGAGGAGGGCTTCGGGGGAATTTTGGGAAGGGCTTTGGTCGTTCCGGCGGGAGGCCGGTCCCTGGCGAACCCTGGGCTCTCCAAGGGCACCCAGGCCCTCCTCCGACAGGCTTCCCTGGCGGGTCCGAGGCGGAGCGCCCCTGAGATCTGGACGCCCGAGATGGGTACGGTCGGACCTAGGACAGAAGAACATCCCTCAAGAACTTGAGATCCTCCGCCAGCCCAACCACACAGAACATCCAAGGGTACCCTCCCCAGGATGCACAAGAGCATCCAACAAACATGAAGAACACTAGGGTACCCTCCCCGAACCGACCTCGATCTTATACCTTGGTTCGGCTGTACGGGAAAGATGGGCACAGTGCCCAACAGCAAATGTTGTCCCAAACCAACAGCGCCCGCTGTTGGGCAGGCGGCCTTCTGTCTCGAGTGGGCTGACTGCCTACCAGACCACCCCAACCCAACCCGAAGACCCGAATCTCGGGCTGGGGGGGGGCAAGGAATCCACATGTGTTTCTTCGATGATTCCCGACCCCCACCCCCACTGGAAATCGAGGGTAAATCTGAGCCTTCGGGTTGGGTTGGGGTGGTTTGGTGGGTGGTGATGGACACAGGCCGCGGCGGCGTGGACAGCGAATCCTGTTCACAATGAGCAGGAACTGCTGCTGGGCACTGTACCCATGCTTTCCGCACCCATTTCGGGCGTCCAGGTAAGAGGCAAGAGCGGGCCCTCGGCCAGGAGGAGGGGGAGGATGAGGAGGAGGAGGAGGAGGAGGAGGAGGAGGAGGAGGAGGAGGAGGAGGAGGAGGAGGAGGAGGAGGAGAGGGTGGAGGAGAGGGTGGAGGAGAAGGAGGAGCAGCAGTGGGGGATGGGAAGGAGGAGGGCAGGGGCCCGGCAGCCCAGCCTCGGAGAGCGGGGGCCGGCAAAAGTGTAAACATAACATCATGTAAACAAAACACCTCGAGGGGGTCGGAGTGTATTTATGTCGGGCGTGTCCCCCTACGGGGGGGCTGTCGACGAAAAATAAAACAAATCACCAAAAATGCCCCAAAAAGGTAAACAAAAACCTCAAACATAGTCCCCAGACTATTTTTGGACTATGTAATGACTATTTGGGGGGTATGTTATTTTTCGTCGAACATCCCCCTGCAGGGGGACAGGCCCGACTTACGAGTATATGGGGTCGTACGATCGCGCCGCATCGCCGATACATCGGCGATGCATCCGCCGATGCATCCGCCGATGCATCGGCGATGCCTCCGGCGCTGCATCGGCGATGCGTCGGCCACGCCAGCGTGGAGAACATCGGGCTCCACATCGAGCCGCATCGCCGATGCATCGGCGATGCGGCGCGATCCTCCAACCCCATCTACTCGGACCCCATCTAGGAGGCCTAGATTTTTGTTTTGGGGGGAACCTGCCGCGGCCCCTGGGGTGCTAATAATCGCCACTCCTCGGAAGAAGGAAAGATACCCATACTGCTACCCTCGCCTTGTTTTCCCCCTTCTTGGGCCTCCTGGGCGGCGAAATCCTGGTCAGAACGCACCCCGGGAGGGGTCCGGGGAGTAGCCGTAGCAGTACCTCTGGGTTTCCCCAACTCCAGGGTGCAACAAATAGAGAAACAACACATACATAAACAAAAACATTCGGAGGTCCGCGCGGATTTCCTGCATCAGCGCTGGAGCCACCTCCCTGGCGTGCTCCGTGCGCCGGGGGGGCCCAGCGCCGATCCAAGAAATCCGAGCGGAGCTCCCAGTGTGTCCAGTGGAGGCCCGTCCAGAAGACGTCCAACCATGGAGTTTTGGAATGGGAGCGTCGGGAAGGCAGCGGCACGCTCTCCATGGCAAAACCCTCGAATCCCGAGGAACCCAGGGCACCCTGGAG